TGTGTGTGTGTGTGTGTGTGTGTGTGTGTGTGTGTGTGTGTGTGTGTGTGTGTGCGTGTTGTGTCTCTGTGTGTACATGTGTACAATTGATTGCAATATGAATTTATTTTTAAAAAGGCATGGCTTTTAAACAGAACAAAAAGAGCAATATGTGGGGATTTCAAAGAGAAAGATAAAAGGGAAGGGAGGAAAATTTTAATCATAATCTCAAAAATGTAATTAAGTTATACTCTCAAAGATAAAAAAAATTATGTGCAAGAATACATCAAAGAGGATTAAGGGAAAGCAAAAACAAACATACAAAGAAGTCATATTTACCAATAATTAACTGTGTTCTTTCCTCAGTCTTTGTTCTCATGTGACATTTAAAGTGTGGTGTGTGTGTGTGTGTGTGTGTGTGTGTGTGTGTGTGTCTGTCTGTCTGTCTGTCTGTCTGTCTGTCTGTCTGTGTAGGGGGTGCTAATGCCAAGGCAAGCATATGAAGGTCAGAGAACAGCATCAGGCACTGGTCTCCAGCTGTTTATGTTTGGAGAAGGAAAGCCAAGTGGTTCCCTCTCTTCTCTCAGCACAAACACTGAGACTGTAATCCTCTTGCTTGCTTGGCAAGCCCTTGACCCACTGAAGCATCTGACCTGCACCATTTTATGCCTCCTATGGAAGGAAGCAATTGTCATGCTTCCTCCTTCCTTTTACATGACAGTTCAGACCTTATGGAGAGTGGCTTGAGATTAGGGACCACAAAGAGAGCAGCAGCATTGACCACAAAGGAAGCCAGTTTGCAGAGAAACACCTGCAGCCCTCCCTTCCCTTGGCCTCAAGTAATGGACAGAGGATGCTCAAAAAGCCCTTGATGTACCAACCTGGACAAAGAGACAAGGCTCTTGGTTCATTCCATGTAAGTGGTCATGAGCCTCATGGCCCAATGCTCCCTTATCTCACTCGTCCATTTTAATTTCCAGAGTGCTTTTTCTTTTCTAAGAATATGTTTCTATTTCTGTTTTTAATCATGTGGCTCTGGTCCAATTTCACTGATGTTGGACACAAATATTTGGATATTTCAAAAGAGCCCCCAGGGAATGTTTGGCAAATGTGCCTGGACTCAGTTCTTTACCTCTAACATTTGATGAGCCAGGCTAGAAAAAGACAAAAGCTTAAGACGTTTCTAGTCTCTCAGTCTTGGTCTCTGCCTCTTTCTCTCTGTCTCTGTCTCTCTCCGAAATAACCAAATGCATGGTTATTCCTCCTTTTACAGAGCACTTAGAAATGATGGAGAGATATCTGTAGGCAGATTAATCATGACCTGGAGCATCAGATTCAACCCTTCTTTTCTTTGCTTTCCCTGCCTACAGCAGTGCACAGTGAATTAGAGATTGTGCCCACACCTTACGGGAAATAAAGGCATTGGCAGGACAGCAAAAATCACCTGAAATCTGAACACCAGCTGTCCAGGAAGATCTGCCTGGTTGGGAGTTCACAAGGATCCTGCTGAGGACCTGTGCCCCAAGAAGGAGGCACATGCACTTGTGCATAACTCCTTGCAGCAGGAAAGCTGAGCAGGACAGAGGCAGCAGCTATCTGTGTGGGCAACCGGGACAGAGAACAGCCAGGTGTGTGGTTGCTCAGATTCCCCTGTGCAGTTAGAGATCTCCAGCTTTTCTCACACTGTAGGAACCCATTTGCAAACCACAGTCCTAGGCACCTACTAGACGGTAGGAACTGTAGACCCAGGCAAGCTCGATCACTGACCCTATGCTTAACTGTCCCCTGACAGGTCCTACAGCCTTCTGCCCTCTACTTACTTTGGCTCACAGTTTTCTACCACCATGATCTCTGTATTCTGTCTCATCATTTACTATAGATGGTTCTATATTTAAAGGCTAAAGAATAATTGCCAAAGCCAAGAGATACTCAAGGAAGCCCAGGAATTAATGCAAAACAATTGTTCTGACTGACACTTTAAACCTGGATGGCAATTTCAAACATAAAAAAAACCAGAGCCATTCACATAAATAAGACTCCACTCAGTGCCTAGTATTTCTTGAATATGTATACTATATATTGCATATGCATTGAATATATATGTCATATGTACATTTAGTTGCATATAAAATATATGACCATGTATATTGTGTTTCTTGGAAGGGGGCTGGTATCTTAAATCATTCTTGATAGAAGGACTTGCATGTCCATATTTTTGTTTGTTAATCATGGGTGGTTGAAATAAATGTGTGCTGTCCATTGGTTAAGCCAGCTGGGGATGGGTAACAAACCACCTGGCCCAGAAACTCATTTCAAGAGGCCCTTTGGGGGTCTGCTGGGTACATCCCAAGCACAATGAGGGAATGGGGTCAGGGGATGGGAAGGAGGACACTCTGAGCAGTCGCTCTCTTTTAGGGCTCTAAGTAGGTACGGGGATAACTTGTCCATTCCTGGAGTTACTATTGGTAACTGTCTTTCTATGTGAGATCAGCATGCTAAAGTCTCCCCAGGTGTTTCCAACGACATGTGAGAGACAGCCTTTAAAACTAAAGCCAGCTTGCTGTCACCCATCCAGCCCCTACAAACAGCACACCCAATAAACAGAGTCCTTGGACACTCAGGGAAATTAGCATCCTTGTTCCCTTTACTGTAGTAGAAAGAGAAGGCAGAGAACAAAACAAATGAACAGAAGCAGACTCACTCAGACCTGGCAACAAGCAAATGTCTGTGTCCTGGGTTCACTCAAACTGCAGAGCAGGGAAATCCTTACCCCATGAATGCTGTGAAGGTGGCAGCAGTTCTCTGGGTTCTCACCAGGACAGGCTCCTCAGAATCCTGCCTTGACTCTCTGCTGTCTTGTGGACTTGCACACCAACTGGACTCTCAGAGAAGGGCTGGGAGACAGCTCTGTGAGCTGTGGTGTGTGTGTGTGCTTTTATAGTCACAATAGGAACCTGAAAGAGAAAGTGAAACTAATGCTTGCGGGATTCTCCTCAGGAAAACTGAACACAATCAGGGATGCGCCTTCTGCTCTCTCCTCTGATGCGCCTTCTGCTCTCTCCTCTAAACTGATGGGGAGAAGGATCTGGAACAGACTGACATGCCAGTTTCATTCAGCTCTCCAGAGAGAGAGATCCCTGGCACCAGGACATGCTGTTAGTATGTTGATGGAGGTGATGTGGAGATAAAGACCCAGCCTGGCATCTCCACAAGCACCACTGTTCTTCAGTCAAAAGAACTGCAGTTCTGCACTGTCTCCTTGAAACTGAGACCACACTCCTGGATTTGATGGCATGGCAGAGGAGAAGTTTGGGAATGGACGAGTCCATCTGCAGCTGAGTTCCCCCGCAGTCTGGAAGGGGAACATCCCAGCTGTTGTGGTGTGTGGCTGTCCTTAGGAACTGCTGCAGGTGTGATCATTCAAGTCCTCTTCCCTCCGCAGAGTTTCTCAGTCTCCCTGAGGCTTTAGGAGTTTACCCTTTATTAACTAGTCCAATTGCCCAGAGCCTATAGTCATGGAGTCTTGCTTTCTGTTACCTTCTCCTGAGGTGTCTGTTTGTAAAGGGCTCTTGCCGCCAGTCACAGCCACATAAGTAACAACCAAGCATGGGATCCATGAAGAATTCTGTATTCACAGCCTTGATGCTATCCTATGCTAATGCCAGTGTAGGAAACTGCAGAAGGTGGGGCTCAGATTGGTTCAGGCCGAGGTCAAGTCTGTTAGTTTGTTGTCTTGGTTTTCTTGGTTAACCTTCTCTCTTAGCGCTGTTAGTGTCTAGTTCCTTAACCTAGTCATTTATTCCTGTCTCCTCTAATACATATCATCCTTCATCCCTCCAAATATAAAAAATTGTTGAAAAGGCTCCTCTCCAGGAACCCAAACCCCATTCTGTTCTAGAACTATCTGCTATCCCTGAGCCACAACTCCACCGCCTTAATAGAGATCTTTCTGAGTACAATCCAGAAGATATCAAGTCATATTATGACTTGAGAGCCACAGTGGATGATGGATCTTGCCTGGCAGAAGAATCTGCATGCCAAAGGTACTGGGCCAAAACTCACTAACTTCTTTGCATTGTTCCATGCACTCTTACCTAAGAAGATCTCAGAACTCATCTCCCCTCATGTCTGGCTACCTGGACACTGAGAAATACTTCAGAGCATTTCTGATGACTGTCTGACCTGTGTCCAGGTAGATGCAAAGATGCTTCCCCCAGGTCAATGGAGTCAAGGTACAATACCTGGAAGTCAAGCTGGACTGTATAGCTACAAATACTTGCTGGTCTTTACTGATACTGTTGCAGGCTGGGTAGAGGCCTTTCTACCCCAAGAATAAATAGTTCAAGTGGTAGCTAAAATATTAATAATGGAAAATTATTCCCAGATTTGGCTTCCCCGTGTCTCTGGGTTCTGATAATGGCCCAGCCTTCATAGCCAAGTTATCTCAATTGTTCTCTAAGGTTCTTAACATAAATTGGAAACTTCATTGTAATGTATCGTCCTCAGAGCTCAAGAAAGATAGAGAGGATACATAGAACTGTAATGGAGATTTTTAACTGAACGTATTCTTGAAACTGGAGTTAACTGGGTTGACACCTTGCCTTAAGCCCCTCTCAGAGTCTGATGTACCTCCTACTGTGAAAAGTTCACCCCATACAAAATAGTCTTTGGGCAACCACCAACCATGATCCCTTGGGTACATGCTGAACTATTATCAGATTGCCGCACTCCAATTTCTGAGTCCTTAAAAGGATTGTAATTAACCTTGGATAAGATTTTCCCTCAGGTCCAGACTGCTCATCTGTTGGGTACTGCCCACCTGACCACCCATTCCAGCCTGGAAATGCTATATTAGTCCATTGCTTCAAAACTGACTGGCACCTGGGTGGTGGTGGTGCATGCCTTTAATCTCAGCACTCGAGGCAGAGCCAGGTGGATCTCTGTGAGTTCAAGGCCAGCCAGGTCTACAGAGCGAGATCCAGGACAGGCACCAAAACAACACAGAGAAACCACCCTATCTCAAAAAAACAACAACAACAAAAAAAAAAAAAACCAACAACAACAACAAAAAACAAACAAACAAAAACTGTTCTTGAACCTACATGGAAAGGTTCAAGATGGACCTTACATCATGATTCTCTGGTTGCCTACTGCTCTTCAGATTGGTGGTATTTCTGCCTGGATTCATCACTGGCACCTTAAGGAGGCACCTGAGGAACCCTTGGAAGAGGAGTCCATCCTCCAGAGGTCAAAGTGTCTGAAACAAACTTCCTAAGGTATAACTGTCTAGTATAACTTTAAACATTGTGTTCTTGCTGTTGAAATTTTCATCATGATTATCCTATGGTTAAAAGTTTTATTGTTTTCAACTTATGCAAACAAAACTTAAATGCATCTTGACAGGGGAAATAAAAGGTACCCCTATCATAGGAAACACCCTGATATTGTCTTTCCATGAAAAGGATTGCTTTTATCCACCAGGGCCCATAGTTTGGACAAAAGAAGGGAAAAAATAGCTTTTAGCCAGATGGATGGAGGATACTTGTTATGGACTAATCTATTTATTTATTTATTTATTTATTTATTGGTTTTTCGAGACAGGGTTTCTCTGTGTAGCTTTGTGCCTTTCCTGGATCTCGCTCTGTAGACCAGGCTAGCCTCGAACTCATAAAGATCCTCCTGCCTCTGCCTCCCGAGTGCTGGGATTAAAGGCGTGTGCTACCACCACCCGGCTTATGGACTAATCTAACTGACTAATCCCAACACAATAATACAGATTTCAGCATAATCAATTATTCTTTAAGGGGTTCTCATAGTATGAATTACAGGTGTGCTAAAGTAAGAAGGGGAAGGGAAGATTGATTAATCACTTTAATTGAGCTTAACATACCCAGAGTAATCCTGTATGTAATTAATAATGTGGACTATAATCTCTGGGTCCATGTAGCACTAAAAAGCCAATTAGAAAACTCCTTCTGTGTCAGAGGAGATTCCCTCTATTCCCAGGCTATTAAAAAGAAATGTATATGCAACAGGGGTTTCTTGAAAATTATACAAGGGTAACTTGGGACAAAAATGGAATATGTTCCCATTAGTGTTTTAAAAGCTGTGGCTGATATCCCTGTTGATAATGTCTTTTTCTTCGTTTGTCTATATTTTTATTTCACTAGTGTCCCTTCTTATTGTAGTTCCACCTCTTAATCACGCCTTTGTAAACAATTGGCTTTAGGATGGACTCTTTGTTTTCTGTGAAAATAATATTTATTCTGCACTCCCTGCAGGATATAAGGGTTTATCTAGGATAGAACATGTTACATCTGTTTTCTTCAGCAAATCTTTGCAATCCATTAACAGAATTGCAAGAGCTCTTCCTGAAAATTGCGACGATTCCTTACAACTACAAGACCCCACTCTAGCTGCTGCCACAGTCGTTCTGTCACCTACCTAGGACTTGTGGTTGGACTACAAAGAGAGGCTTCTAAAACAGTCTGTCCAATTTTAAAAACTACTACTACTACAGCAAAAATATTAGCTGAAATTAATCAAGAAATGCGAGAGCTGAAAACAGTTGTTCTACACATAGAGCTGCTATAGGTCACCTGCTACTTAAACGTAATCTTGGTTGTCAGCCATTTACTGAAATGTGCTGTTTCAATATCTCTGATTTCTCTCAGACTATTGACAACCAAATTGATGATCTACATAAAGAAATAAAATCTCTCAAACAAATTTTGACTGGCCAATATGGCTAAGATGGTTCTCCCCATTCATTGGCCCTCTAATTTGGGCCCTGTGTCTGCCAATGTGTTACTAATGTGACAACCTGTCAGACAAACAATTCTAGAATCATTTGTGCTCAACAACATTACTAAGACATTCCTTATCAAAGATTTGACAGGAAACACAAGTCAAGGGGGAAATGAGGAACATGCCTAACTCCCTTTGAAGACAGGACCCATTTTGCTGTATTGTTAAAAATAAGTTTCCATTTACTCTAAAAGAAGCTGAGATGCTATTTTTAAGTCTGTTTCCTGGAGCCTGACCTGCCTCAGCCTTTGACTTTGACTTGTTTTTGAAAATACTCTCACCTCCCTGACCCTCCCTGACCCTCCCTGATGCTCTCTAGTCACCCTCCCTAGTCGCGCATGGTGACCAGAGGCTGTGTTTTGAGATTTTTCTGCATTTCTGTATTGCCCCATTGTCTCTCTTCTGTAAACCTGCTTTGCAACCACTGGTGATTTTACTCCTTGAAAGGGGCCTGATAATTGGATGTGGGGCTGCTCTCTTTAACATGACTTAGAAGGTAGTCACTAGTTATCTCTTGGGTGTACCCCAATAAAATCAAGTTTCCTCCAAATTTGACTCAAATTGTGGTAGTGGTCTTATTCTCACCTGGGGGAATTAATGTCACTAATAAATTTTTTTTAAAGTATGATTGAAAGAACCCCATTTAATAAGGTTTTTAACTCAAAATAGGCTTTTCCTTTGCCTTAAGTCTTCCCCTCTTTGAACTATGGGTGGAGCATTTTTGGTGATACAGCTGCCTCAATTCACTCAAATTACTCTAAGTATCTCCAAAAAGTTGATTGACTCACCATATCACACTTGTATGGAATTTCTCTTGTCTGTCAGTATCCTCCATGTAGGGTACATAAGTCTTTCTATTCCCCCAGGAAAATGGTATAATCAAGGCCAGCCCTTGGAAATGAGTTACAAGCAATGTAGATTCTTCCCATTGTATCACATGGAATTTGCTTTCCTTTGTTTCTCTAAGTCCCTGTCTTAATTAGGGATTCCTTTGCTGTGAAGAGACACCATGACCACAGCAATTCTTATAAAGAAAAACATTTAATATGGGCTGGCTTACCGTTCCAGAAGTTTAGTCCATTATCATCATGGCAGGAATCAGGGCAGTGTACAGTCAGACATGGTGCTGGAGAAGCTAACAATTCTA